CTATGTAGTTCAGGCTGGCCTTGAACTTAATATATAGCCCAGGCTGGCCTCTAACTCATGGTGATCCTCCTGCCTCAGCTTCTAGTTGCTGAGATTGTAGGTGTGTATCACTACCCCCAGCTAAGATATTTTACTTTTTTATGCTAAGTCTCAGAGATCTGATGTGTTTTTGTTGTTGTTACTGTTTTTGTGTGTGTGTGTGTTTGAGACAGGGTCTCACTGTGCAGCTCAGGCTGGCCTTGAGCTTACTTTGTAGCCCAGGCTCTGATATGTCTTTTAACACCCACAGCACATTTCCGTTCAGACCAGCCCACGTCAAGTGGTCAGTACAGCAAGGTCTTGATGTTCTTTGTTGATACTCCAGGCCCAACACTTCAGTCTTACAGGGAGCTGAGTGGACATCTGTTTCCACTGTAGGCCACTGCTCTGGCTGCCTTAACCGTTTTCAGGCTTAGCCTTGTCTGTGAGATTAGAATGAAGAATAAACCAAGGGCCCTTGGAACAAGGAGTATATTCAGGTGCAGAAGTAGTTCCCTGCAGTAGGCACTGGGACCACCTAATTGAGACAGCACAGAGCAGTGATTAATAGCTCCAGCTGTGGAGTTGTTTTCTTACTTTTTTTTTTTCTTGGTACCGGGAATCAAACTCAGAACCTTGCACCTGCCAGGCAGGCATTTATGCCCCTGAGCTATATCCCCGGCCCCAAGCTATGGAGTTATAAAAGTCTCATCTCTTCTATCTGCTTGGTAGGTTTTTGTTTTGTTTTGTCTCATCTCTTCTGTCTCCTTGGTAGGTTTTTGTTTTGTTTTATTTTTTGTGGTTTTTTTGGTACTGTTTTTGGTTTTTTGAGACAGAAGCTTTCTATATAGTTCAAGGTGACCTCAAACTCATGGTGATGCTCATGCCTCAGTCTCCTGAATACTGGGATTACAGGTATATGCCACCATGCGCAGCTAACCTTGACTTTTCTGAACCTTATTTTTCTTTATTCTTTTTTTTTTGTAGCTGTTACGCTTTAATGGAGGGAGGTATAAAATACATCAGTGCAAAAGAATACTTTACATACTCATTACCATAGTGATTCATTTTTGGTTTTTTTTTTGGTGTTTTTTTTTGAGACAGGGTTTCACTATGTAGTTCATGCTGGCCTTGAAGTCACAATATAGCCTAGGCTGGCCTCCAGCTCTCATCAGTCCTCCTGCGTTGGTCTCCTGAGTACTGGGATTACAGGCCTGCGCCACCACGCCCAGATGAACCTTACTTTTCTTATCTGTAAAATGGAGACCATAGCACTCTGAAAGACTGAGGCAAGAAGATTGGAAGTTTGAGCCCAACTTAAGCAGTTAGCAACTTTGTGAGACCTAATCTCAAAAACTTAAGGGCTGGGGATGTAGCTTAGAAGGCCTTGGATTCAATGCCCAAAACCACAAAAAAAATAGATAAGCATAAAATAAAGACCTCGATGTTATGTGTATTTTTTCATCACTATGGAGATTGACAGTTAATGCAAAGTACTGGCACATAGTAAGCACAGAGCACACAGTGTCAATTGAAATAATGTGGGAACCTTTTTGTTAAGTACTAGGGGTACATGGTCTCCTTTAGAAGATAGCCAGGAGCACTTTTGCAGGCAGTAAGCCGGCTGACCCCTGCCCACCTCTTGCAGAGCCACCCCTAAGTGACGACCTGCAGCCTTCCTCAGCTGTGTCCAGCCCCACCCAGCCAGGTCCCGTCTTGTACATGCCATCTGCTGCCGGAGACTCGGTGCCTGTGAGCCCCTCCAGCCCGCATGCCCCCGACCTCAGTGCCGTACGTGCCTGTCCTGGGGAGTGGGTGTACCCCAAACTCCTCAGCCTGTGCTTGGGGAGAAGTCCTGGTTTCGTACTTAAGCTAAAGGGTTTTGCCTTTCTTGCCCCAGGGATCTTGTGTATCACAGTGGGAGCAGGGTTGTATCTTCAGGTCCTGTATTGATCATCCTGGAACAAACCCTTCTGTCATACCTCCCTGCCAAACCCTCAGAGGCTAAGGGTGCTTGTTGCTACCCATTGGTGTTTGAAAATGGAACCAAACCCCTTTTTGAAGACTCCCTTTGAGGCAGGGATGGAGAGTGGGTCAGGCCCCAGCCTGTGTTATGCTTACCAGGTCCCATTCTTCCCTGCAGCTCCTCTGCAGGAGCAGTAGCCTGGGCAGCCCATCCAACCTCTGTGGCTCTCCACCGGGCCCCAGCAGGAAGACTACGAACCTGGAGAGCCTGGTCTTCCCTGGAGAATCTAGCCTCGCCCCTGGTAGCTATAAGAAGGCTCCTGGCTTCGAGAGGGAAGATCAGGTGGGAGCTGAGTACCTGAAAAATTTCAAATGCCAGGTAAGGGATGAGCAGCACATCAGAGAATGCCTAAGCCCAGTGAGCTTCCCCTTCTGCATGAGGCGAGAGGAGCTTGGAGGAGAGGCCTGTTTGTGCTGTGGAAGGAGGCTGGGAGCTAGGACTTCTTGTCCTCGGCCTCTGTAGGACTGAGCAGTGAGTAATGTTGCCCTGTTTCCAGCTGAGGACAGGAGGGCTCAATAGACGGTACAACTACCCAGAGCCCATAGAGCCAGTCAGTAGCAGAGTAGTATTCCTGCCAGCATGCAGTTCTTTGCCTGCCTTCTGTTGCCTTGATGGAATGGCAGGGCCTGGAGGAGCAGGACAGAGGCCCCTGACTGGGCCTGGAAAGAAACCTGGGCCTGTCTGTGGCATTGTTACCTGGAAGAGAGGGGCAGCTCCCTGCTTCGAGTAGTGGAAGGAGTGGCATGGAGAGGCGGGTGCATGACAGTGGACAGTGTCTGCCACCACCTGCTTCCTGGTCCCTCAGCCACGGTGGTCTATGCAGGGGCTAGGTGGACTCCTAGAAGTTCCCCAGCACTACACTGACCTCCTTCCTTCCTTTTCTCTCTCAGGCCAAACTAAAACCCCACTCACTAGAGCCCAGGACTCAAGAGCAGCCTCTGCTTCAGCCCAAACAGGTACAGAGCTCTTGGTTTCCTGCTTCCATCTTGGTATCTGTCATGGACAGGACAGGCCCAGAACCTCAGAGCGTGGGGATTAGGCCCTGGAGCCCATCCCTTCCCAGTTCACTTGCAGTCAGAGGTGTTCAGGGAGCATCACACTGTGCCAGGGACCACACTGCTCCCTTTGCCTACTACACGGGTAGGGGCAAGTGGCCTTCCGCTGCCAGCCTCTCTACAAGCTGTGAGAGTATGGTTGCCCAGGTCTCAGCACAGGGCTCAAGCGGCCTGTGGCCTAATCCTCACCTCTGGTCTTCATCACCTTGTCTCCCAGCCTCTAGGCATGGCTCCACAGGCAGGCCACCCATTGTCTCTCCTAACTTTTGTTGCAGGACGTGCTGGGGATCCTCCCTGTGGGCAGCCCCCTGACCTCAAGCATCTCTTCCAGTATTACCTCCAGCCTGGCAGCTACTCCTCCCAGCCCTGCGGGCACCAGCAGCACCCCTGGCATGAACGCAAATGCTTTGCCCTTCTATCCCACCAGCGACACGGTAGAGTCGGTCATAGGTAATCAGGCTCGGCATGTGTGAGCCTGGGCTTGGGCCTGGAGGCAGGGACACCAGGCCTCTGAGGTAGACGTCAATCAGTATACCAGTCACCTTAGAGAGCTGATCAAGGGCTGTCAGGGTGGGCAGTCTGGACTCTTCGAGCTAAAGGGGAATAAATGGTTTGCTTACCTGTAATCTCCCAACTCTTCAGGACGTTGAGGCATAAGAATTGCAAGTTTGAGTCCAGCCTAAGCATTTAGTAAGATCCTGTTTTTGACATCTGTTTTGGCTTGTTTATTTGTTTGTTTGTTTTTTGAGACAGGGTCTCACTCTGTAGTTCAGGGTGGCCATGAGCTCACTTGGTAGCCCAGGCTGACGTTGAATTCGAGGTAATTCTCCTGCCTCAGCCTCCCGAGTGCTGGGATTACAGGCATGCCACCACCATGCCTGGCTGTTTTTTTTTGTTGTTGTTGTTTTCTTTTTGAGACAGGGTCTCACTATGCAGTTCACGCTGACTTTGAGCTCACTTTGTAGCCCAGGCTGGCCTCGAACTTGCAAAGATCCTCCTGCCTCAGCCTCTAGAGTGCTGGGATTACAGGTGTGTGCCACCACACCTGGCCTGTTTTGTTTTTTTGAGACAAGGTCTTACAATATAGTCTGGCAGGTTTTGAATTTAGGATGCTCCTGCCTCAGTCTCCTAGAGTGCTGGTATTACAGGAATGTGCCGCTATACCTCACTATAAAACCTCTCCAAAAAAAGGGGCTGGGGATGTAGCTTAGTGTAAAGTCCTAGGTTCATCCCCTAGTATTACAATGAATGAAGAAAGTAAACAAACAATAAAACAACCAGGTGGGCATGGTGGCACATGTCTGTAATTCTAGCACTTTGGGAGGCTGAGGCAGAAGGATTACAAATTCAAGCCCAGCCTCGGTAATTTGGTGACTTAGTGAGACCCTATCTTAGAACAAAAAGGTGGGGTTTGAGGATGTAGCCCAGTGCAAGGGGCTAGGGTACAATCGCTAATACCAGTAAAAAGTTTAAAAAATAAGAAGAAAATAAGCACAAAGTGTAAAGTCAAGACTAGCTTAAAAAAACAAACAAACAAAAAAAAAACCTCAGCGGGTCGTGGTGGCTCATACCTGTAATCCCAGCACTCGGGAGGCAGAGGCAGGAGGATTGTTGCAAATTCCAAGACCAGCCTGGGCTACAAAGTGAGCTCAAGGCCAGCTTGAACTGCATAGTGAGACCCTGTCTCAAAAAGACAAAAAAAAAAAAAAACAAACAAATAGCTCTGAGAATTCTTTCATATGATTACAGTCACTCCAAAACATGTGGTGTCCCATCCCCATTCATTCTGTTCCTAGGTGTCCTTGTGCAGTGAGCAGCCTACATAACTGTCCTCTGAGTGCTAGACATTAGAGATAAGTGTCCCTGGTCTGGGAAGTAGCTCTCAGGGACAGAATGTGTGCTTAGTATGTCAGAGGCCTTGGTTCAATTCCCAGTACAATGTCAATGTCCTTTTCCTTTGTGACTTATTTATAACTTCCTACTTTGTGCCTAATCCTATGCAGGCCCTTTGAGGAGACAGATAACGATGTGGAGGAAATCTGTTCACAGTCCCGTCCCCCAACTCCTGGCCAGTTCAGGGGAAGGCATTGGCATTTGTCAGGGACCCAGTATGCACTGGCTGCAGACAGCCCAGAGACCTGCCCACCCCCAGTAAGCTCAGGGTGACACACATATCCTGTAACACTTCAGTCAGAGGCAAACTCAGATTGGACCTTGATTCCACCTGGGATATCAAAGGCAGCTTCAGAAAGGAGAGATACTTGGACTGGACTAGGTAGACAGCTTCAGGGGTCAGTGCTGGCAGAGAGAGCCCAAGCAAAGGCGCAGTGAGGGCAGTAGATGAGATGGTTAAGGTTATTGAGGGCCTGGAGCCTAGAGTTTTGGCCCTTGGGAGGCGCACATCTGGATCTCTCTGTGCCTAGAGTCTGCCTTGGATGATCTGGACCTGAATGAATTTGGGGTGGCTGCCCTGGAGAAGACTTTTGATAACAGCACAGTGCCCCATCCCAGCAGCATCACAATCGGTACTGGGCAGTGGTTGGACAGGGTGGCTTGGAGGGTGCTCTCTGCTTGGTGTGGCTTGCCTGGCCTCACCCCGTTGCCTTCTGGGGCCTCTCTTGCAGGAGGCAGTTTGCTACAGAGCTCTGCACCTGTGAACATCCCTGGCTCCTTGGGCAGCTCTGCCTCTTTCCACTCAGCATCCCCGTCTCCTCCTGTCAGCCTCTCTTCACATTTCCTGCAGCAGCCTCAGGGCCACCTGAACCAGTCAGAAAACACATTTTTGGGAACCTCGGCATCACATGGATCCTTGGGTAAGAAGAGTGGGAAGACTAGGAAAGGAACCTGGACTAGAGGTTAGATCAGGGGCTTTGGGCTGGGGGACTCCGCCACCCCTACCTTTGTGACTGTAGATGAGAAATTGGGCTTCGTTGCCTAAGTTTCCTCTACATGAAGTGAATGCCACGGTTAGGTTAAATGAAATGCTGTGAGGAAGTGCTAGGACAGGCTGGGGTGGCAGCAAGCAGTGGTCTCAAGAGTTGCCCAGGTCAAGGGCTTGTCTTCAGTGCAGTTTCAGCCCAGTTGAAAAGGTGATGGTGGAGCCTCAGTAAGAGTTCTTGCCTAGCATGCATAAGGTTGTGGATGGGTTCAATTCCCAGCACCCCCAAAATAAAATAATTTTTTTTTTTTTTTGCGGTACTGGGGATTGAACTCATGACCTTGCGCTTGCCAGGCAGGCGCTTATGCCACTGAGCTATATCCCTGGCCCCAATAAAGTAAAATTTGATACAGTCACCCAGAGCTCCCAGAGGCTGCCTGCTCATGCAAACCAGGGTGGCAGTAGACCAAGGGAGAATTTGGAGCAGGCCCAGCCCAGGCTCAGGGTACTCTCTCTGCCAGGTAAAACCACAAGGGAGATACTCAAATCTAGCCTAGAGGGCTGTTTGCCCAGCCCAGCAATAGAACAGTGGGGGCTGGGGCCCCAGAGGTCCCTACAGGCCCTAATATCACAGCCAGGGGCTCATCTCATGGGAACTGGGGTAGTGTCCCTGAGGTAATGACGCAAAGCATTTGGCACAGCCCGGAGTGGGTGCCTCTCAGTAGCAGCAGTGGCCTCTACAGGAGCTATTCAAAGGCCAGAAAGACACAGCCCTGAGGATGCTGGGCCTCCCAATCAGACAGAGGAACTAAGTTCCTAAAGTTTTGACCAGCTGCGGCACTTTCCTGGTCCCCTAAAGGTTTGACAGTACTTTCCAGTTTGGATGAGATTGCTCTGTGGTATGGGCTGTGTCTACATATGTGTTAGTGTTATATTGTGCTCCTGTTCTGGTGGTGTCTTGACTTGGCCCTGCCTACTGGCCTCACACATCCCCTCACCAAGTGAATCAAACATTCGTATAGGTGCACGTGTTGGCTGAATGGCCTCTGCCATTAGAACAGGAGACAGAGACAATGGGGTCTGCTAAGAAGACCTCACGGGACAGGGAGTGTGCTGCTCTGAGGAAGCAGCTCCTCTCCAAGAATACAAATGCCACCTACATGAGGATGGGAGCAGTGTGGGTAGGCAGAGCTTGTTGCAGGGCAGTCTGGTGTCAGCGCAGCAATCTGGAGGTCCCTCTGGACAGAGCAGATGAGCCCAAAGACAGCGCACACCATAGGGGCTCTATAGGACAGTGCACCTCTTGTATGAGTATACTTGTTGCTCCAGCACAGTGTCTGAACTCTGGTTCTGGAACATCCTGGCTACATTAGTAAGAAAGATAACAAAGAACAAGTCACTAGAATATGTCTGGGCATGAAGGAGACCAGGGATAGGGCTTAGTCTCAAGAACATGAGGGCCTGCCCTGGAGACCAGCGAGCAGGGCACCAGGTGTTGGTTCCCCTCCACTGGGTGTGTGAGCAGGTGAGTAGGCAGCTTAGCTTGTGAGAAAGAAGCCTTTGGAGTTCAACACCCACGTGGAACTTGCTCCGTCATCACTCAGCGTTCTTGTGATTCTTGGTAGCACGTTTTCCCAGTGTCCTCAGCCATAGGACATGGGAGAGGCCCAGAGCTTCCTGGTTCCTCCCCCTCTAGCCAGTCCCTACTATCATGTGAAGTGCTGGCTTATGGCTTTTCATTTGCTTCTTCCAGTCAAGTGCCCTCTGGAGAGGGTATAAGAAGGCTTTGTGAGCTGTAGCTGAACTCTGAGGTCACTGTCACAAATTGCCACCTATAGGAGCCTTCAGGCTATTCTTCCATGCAGTACTTCCTGAGTCCTCCTCTGAGGCCAATAATGGGAACTTCATTGTACACATGGGAATGCTTTAAGTGGCAGCTATTAAGTAGCAAGTGGTACTGAAGATTGTGTCCAGTTCAGCCCAGGGAACATCCAGAATGTCCCTGCAGAATGCCCTAGCCTGATGAGTGGCTAGGGCCTCCAACATCTGCCCCATGCTCAGCCAGCCCCAGGAAACACCTGGGCCCTGAACAGTTGACATTCCCCCACCCTACCCCCACACAGGTCTGAATGGGATGAACAGCAGCATCTGGGAACATTTTGCCTCCGGAAGCTTCTCCCCAGGCACCTCCCCTGCCTTCCTCTCAGGGCCTGGGGCTGCTGAGCTGGCGCGGTTACGCCAGGAGCTTGACGAAGCCAATGGCACCATCAAGCGGTGGGAGGAGTCCTGGAAGCAGGCCAAGCAGGTATAGAGCCCCATGCCCATGGTGTCCCTGGTGCCTGATAGCACCCAGCCCAAGCCCATCTTACCCACAGTGGGCATGGCATGGGGGGTGGGAGAGTGGGGGCTCAAAGAACAGAGCAGAAGCTTTTGTTTGCCCTCTTGCCTGTGGGAGGACTGGCCTTGCCAGTTGGGATACTGGGGCAGCTAGTGTCACAGGCCTGGAACTCCCTCCAGGAGCTGTTTGTTGTAGCCCTAGCCGCCAGCCCACCTGCTTCTCTCTGGAAGTCCCCACTCTCCAGGGATACAGGTTCTAGGTTCTAAGATGGACCCTCTGTCCAGCCATCACCCCGCTGCCCCTGGGGATGCTGGCCAGGATGTGGTCCTGCTGTGCTAGGCCCTTCCTCTTCCCTCCCCACAGAGGAAGGTCTCCTGCAGATCCTGAAACCTCTCTCCTCTGCAGGCAGCATCAGCCTCCTCCTTGCCCCCTCCCCAGACTGCAAGCCCAGCTTCCCAGCAGGCCCCACAACCATCATGGCCCACACAGGTTCCCAGAGATGGTCTCTGGGGGAATAGGGGGGCAGGGGCAGGGGGTCATCGTGATGAGGCACTGCGTGTTGGGCCCACAGGCTTGTGATGCCTGGAAGAAAGAGGCAGAGGAGGCCGGTGAGCGGGCCAGTGCTGCAGGTGCAGAGTGCGAGCTGGCCCGGGAGCAGCGGGACGCGTTGGAGGTGCGGGTGAAGAAGCTCCAAGAGGAGCTAGAGTGGCTTCACACAGGGCCTGATTCCCAGGCCCTGCCCACCTTTCCCGACCTGGAGGCACTCTCACTCTCCACCCTCTACTCCCTCCAGAAGCAGCTGCGGGCCCACCTGGAGCAAGTGGACAAGGTCAGCCCTGGAGGTCAGGGTGCACTGGGTGGGGGTGCATGCTAGCCTGACCAGACCCAATCTAGGCTGCTCTGAGGACAGCCACCCTCCTGAGAGCTCTGCCTAACACTGGGCCAGTACTCTTCATACCAGTCTCCTGGAGAGGGTGAGGAAGAGGAAGAGAATCCCCTCATGGGGAGGTGAGAAAGAAAGCATCGGGTGGAGGTGGCAGCACCCATTCCTGGTGCCCTTGACCTAAGCTCATTGACATGCCTGGGCCCTGTGTAGCACCCTTGTGTAGCTGTCTTCCCGCCAGCACACATTCCAGAGTGGCTCAGGCCCTGGGGCTGCTCCATCTGCATTCCCAAGTTCCCTGCTGGGCTCCCAGGGTAGTGTGACCTGTGGAAGGAGCGTATTTTCCTTCCCTAGACAGCCAGGCCACTTGGCATGTGATAGTCCCTCTCTAGGCTTCATTTTTCTCACTGGGGGACCAAGGGTCACTACAAGATTAAAGTAGACAACAGGCTTTAACAGAGGTACCAGGAAAAGCCCTGAGGGATGGGAACTGCAGCCAGCACCCTGTCCCAACCTGGTGTCACCACACAGCCTTTGCTGTGGAGAGCAGTGGTCAGGATCCTGGAGCTGAGCAGGCTGAATCGTAACACTGCTCCCTATGGCTAACAGGGTCCTGTGACCACACTATTGATTTCTGTGCCTCAGTTTCTTCTTCCCAGGGGGGCTGAAGTGAGAATCAGGAGAGCTCCTTGCTCAACTTGGTGCTATGCTGGCAGCAAAAACTGCACTCGCGACTACTCTTGTCACTTTTCTTGCAGGCTGTTTTCCACATGCAATCGGTGAAATGCCTTAAGTGTCAGGAGCAGACCCGGGCAGTGCTGCCGTGCCAACATGCCGTGCTGTGCGAGCTCTGTGCTGAGGGCAGTGAGTGCCCCGTCTGTCAGCCCAGCAGGGCCCATACCCTCCAGTCGTGACGCTACAGGACTGGCCCAGCCAGGCCCAGATCTCTCATCTAGGACTTTTAAAAGTATATATATTATATATATAATATATATGTATGTATGTATATGTATATGATTATGTACATGTATACAGTTCTTTGTGTGCAGGTGTGCGTGGTGGCCAGCGTGTGCACAGTGTCTGTGTGTATATCTGTACATAGATATAGACACACACTTTAAAACAGACTTACCAAGCACTTTTTAAAGAAAAGACTATTTTGCAGTCCTCCCCTGCCCACTCCCCACCCTCCCCACTCAGAAACAAAGTCCCCCTTTCTCCCACTGGCCTTGGCAGAGAATGTTTCTGTCTCTTTTTTATGTAGGAACTAACTATTTTTAACTTTTTGCTGGGGCCTGAGTGGGGAGGTTGGGAAGCTAGAGGAGGCTGAGAGGGAGAGAAGCCTTTAGGGCAGGCCCTGCTCCGCCTGCCTCTCCAGCCTAGGGCCTGCAGGAGACTATGGAGGACCCAGGTGCCCCACAGCATACCGGCTTCCCAGCTGTGAGGGCCTCAGGGAGGCCTGAGGCTGTGCTGGGCTTCTAAGCCAGCCTGGCTCCTGGGCTTACCAAATGTGTATTTAGTTCTAGTGACAACTGCCGGGGCTGGCAGGCCATAGCTACGGGGCCAGCTCCACTCCTGCACCTGGGCCCTTGAAGCTCCTGAAGGGGCAAGGCCCAGTTTTATCCCTCAGGTTCTTGAGGCCTGGGGTCCCCCTTAGTTCTTTCCTTCTGGACTCCCCAGAATAGCCTCCCTGGCCCCAGGGCCACCTACCAGGCTGACACTGCCCTCAGCCATCCCTGCCCCATCCCCTCTCTGGTGCGGCCACTGTGTTGTCCGCCCCCTCCCTCTGGCAGCTAGCAGGGCAATTACTGGGGAGGAGTGCGGCCTGAGGACCAAGGGGGGCACAGACCCTGCCCTCCTTACCAGGTGGGGCTCCATATGCATTCCTTGGTGCTCTCTGAGTGCAGCTGACGTCCTGCCTGTCCTGGGCAGACGCCTGTGTGCATGTGTGTGTGTGCCTGTCTGATGTACATTGTGTCTTAGCTCAATTTTGAAAATTGTTCTGTACAGAGAGAGATGCAGCGGGGGTGGGAGGGCAATGCAGGCTGAGGGCAGCAGCCTCGCTCCCAGCACTGGGGGCTAGGTGGGCTTGAGAGGGCTTTGAAGGGTCTGCCCTGGCCCAGACCCCCTTTTGGGCTCAGCACGAAAGGGCTTTCAATGAATCAAGTGGAAACTTTTCCTTTTTTACAAAAATGCAAAAATCAATAGAGCAAACCTATTGGAAATAAACTATGAACTTGCTTTGGTGGCATGTTTATATGGGAGGTGGGCCCCCAGTTGAGCCTTCCAGACCGTGAGGTGGGCAGGAGCCATGCCTCAACCAGACTGCTCAGCTGAAGAGGCCTGGGCCCATTCAAGCCCAGAGGCAGTTCATGTGCCCTCTGACCTGCACCTGTTGGGATTGTGGAGCTGGGACATTAGCCTTGGACACCGACCTCCGAAGCTGTGTAACTTTCTTGTTTAGAGAATTGTCTTCAGGCTGGGTGTGGTGGCGCACACCTGTAATCCCAGCACTTAGGAGGCTGAGGCAGAAGTATTGCTTGGAGTTCGAGACCAGCCTGGGCTACAAAGTGAGCTCAAGGCCAGCCTGAACTGCATAGTGAGACCCTGTCTCAAAAAGACAAAAAAAAAAAAATGAATAAATAAAAGTAAATGGCCTGACAAGCCTTCCAGTGCCTACCTTAGGCCAACAGAAAAATTTCCAAGAGGAACATGGATTTTTAAAAAAATATGTGCTAAGAAAATTTCTAGGGGCAACCTACTTGGGACTCCTTTTGTCTCTTAGAAGCTTTATTTCCCCAATAAATATATTCTGCTCTTAAAAAAAAAAAAAAGGCCAGGCGTGGTGGTACACACCTGTAATCCCAGCACTTGGGAGGCTGAGGCAGTAGGATCTTTGCAAGTTTGAGAGCAACTTGGCCTACAAAGTGAGCTCAGTGGGCTGAGGATATAGCTCAGCGGCATAAGCGCTTGCCTGGCAAGCCTGAGGTCATGAGTTTGATTCCCGGTACCAAAAAAAAACCGAAGTGAGTTCAAGGCCAGCCTGAACTGCATGGCGAGACCCTGTCTCGGACAAAAAGAAAAGAAATTTCTAGGTGACGGGAGCTGTCCAAGGGAGGAGGTGGTGTTCTCAGCAGACACTGCCAGACTGCCTTTTCTCCTGTTCCCTGGTGTCAGTCTCACGCCTGCCAACTCAGAGTCAAAAAATCCATACCAGGACTGCCTCTAATAATGGTCACTCCCTTCCCTTGGGACAGATGGCACCTCTTGGGTAGTTCCCCTCTTGTTCCTCAGGGTACCCCCAGTTCCAGCCACCTGGTCCCTGCACCCCCAGTGGCTGAAGCACAGGCCAGGAGGTAGATGACGAAAGACCCCACACCAGAGCAGCTTTTCCAGGATGGAGCAGAGGCGGGAGATGTTACCCATGGACTCCATGCTGGGATGTGGCACAGAGCTGAGGCCAAGACTCAAAGGGAGGGATGAAGAGTATAAATATTGCTAATAGTGCCGCAAGGGACCACACTCTGGAAAGAGCTCAGGAGGCTCTGGACCCTGGGCCCCCCACTTAATGGGACTCCCAGAACTGTGCAGGGAAGACGCCCCCCCCCCCAACCTTCCAGGGCTCCCCTAGAGGCCAGCCCTTTGTCCATCCACCACCATCACTGCCCTGGCCTTGGGGCATGCTGAGAGGCCTGCTTGGCTCGCTGCCTTCTCAGTCTCACAAAGGCCTGTGCCTCACGATCACCCTTCCGGCTCTCCAACAGCTGCAGGATTGGATCCCCTGTGGAGAGAAGGGTTTGAAGATCAGGTTTGGGGAAGAGGCAGTGCCTGGGAGGGAGGACACAGTACTGGCCCATCTGCCCCTGCCCTACCAGCATGGAAGGAAAACTATGACACACACCAGACAAGCTCACATCCAGATAGATGTAAGACTGGAAGTGCCTGAGATACTGACTTTACTAGGGATTGAACCCAGGGCCTTTGCACAGCCCTAAGTTGCTAAATTGCCCAACCTGAGCTGGAACTTGGACTCTTCCTGCCTTATCCCAGAGGGCTGGAATTATAGGCATGCACCACTATGCCTGGCTTTAATTATTAAAGGTAGGGGGGAAAAAATAGGCTCTGCAGACCAAGTGTAGGTCAAGTAAAAGGAAAATAAGTACTTCTACAGGAGAGAGCAGGTTACTGTGAAGGGACACAGTAGCCAACTTTGTTTTGGGGGGTTTTTTTTTTGTTTGTTTTTGTTTTTTTCTCTGGTACTGGGAACTGAACTCACGACCTTGTGCCTGCCAGGCAGGCGCTTTGCCGTTGAGCTAAATCCCCAGCCCCGTTTTTTGGGGTTTTGTTTTCTTTTGTTTTTGACTCAAAGTCTTGCTGTGTAGCTCAGGTCAACCTCAAACTCCCCATCCTCCTGCATTAGCTCTGTAGTGCTGGGATTAAAAGCATGTGTCGCCACACCTGGCTATTTTTATGTTTCTTTGAGACAGGATCTCACTACACTGCATAGTAATCCAGGCTGCCCTTAGACTTGCTGTGTGGCCCAGGCTGGTTTTGAACTAGTAATCCTCCTGCCTAAGCCTCAAGTGCTGGGATTAAGCCATGCACCACCATGCCCAGCTAATACCTTTTTGTTTTGGGTTTTTTTTTTTAATTTTTAATTTTTTTTTTTGTACCAGGAATCAAATTCATGACCTTGTGCTTGCCAGGCAGGCGCTGTGCCACTGAGCTATATCCCCAGCCCCTGAACTATATCCCCGGCCCTAACCTTTCTAAATGAGACTTGAAGTTAACTCTGTGTCTGTGTAAGGGCCTGTGAAATAGCACTGGTAGTAGTACCTGGTTGGCGGATTTAAGAATGAAACAGTTACTATGCATGAGTGAAGTGCTTAGAACTGGCTCATATGTGCACAAGCGTGCAACCTTTTCCTGTCATCAAGCTTAGGGACCTTTTCACAGGGATGTGACCCCTGCTCAGAAATGCAGGGCTCTCTCTTCAAGTAAGCTTCTTGTGACCTCCCTACCGGGAAAGTCAGATTTTCACTGAGCTTGCTCATTAGAGCAAGAGAGTTTTGAGATGCTTCAGCAGCAGAGTTATGGTGCTTGCTCCAGTGGCGTCCATCTCCCAAAGAAGCATTTCTCCGGGGCCCCTGCCTGAGCTTCCTGGGGGCCCAACCCTTCCCTGCCTTGGGGGCAGACCTACCGTTGGGCATGGGATATGTGAGGGGCAGGCGGGTCTGAGGTGCTTCACCAGGCTCCTCGCAGCCGCTCAGCCCAGGCACTGTGCACAGCGGCAGGAAGGCCTCCCCTTGCAGATCATTGGTCCCCAGAGTGTCATGGTCCAGCACAGTGAGCAGGAGGCACGCCCCATCCTTCCGGCATGGCTCAGCAGGCACCAGGCTAGCAGGACAGAGTCGGGCTCAGACGCCTGCCTACCAGCATTTAGGTCACGCCCTCCTTGCTGACAGGGCCATTGCAAAGTCAGCTCTTGGCCTGTCACCCCTCAGCCTTGTGTTACAACACCTGCTCTGATGATGGGCTGATGCTTTAAACTGGGGCTCCTGGGTCCCCAGGCACATCTGTCTTGGGCAACAAAGCAGCCCCCAAGGACCTCAGGACAGGATCCTTTCCTGGAAGCTTCTGAATCTAAATATATAGGAGCCCATACCTTCCAAGGGAAGCAAACCTGCCCCAGATACCCCTTCCCTGGACCCCATGTGGTCATCTCAGAATCCCCTTGGTGGGGCTTCAGGGAAGAGAAGCCAGAGAAGAGTGAAAACTCACAATTCAAAGGTCTCATCAAACAGTGGGTGAAGATCCTTTTTGTGCTTCTGGGTCTCTCGGGGAGCCAGTTCAGGGAATTCATGCCTGGGCTCCAAGGTCAGCTGGACAAAGGGGTCACTGGAGCCTGGCAGATAGCCCAGGGGAGGGGGCTAGCTCAGTTCTCCCAGCCCCTCACCCAAGCTGTACCACTCAGCAGCACTGCCCCCTCCTGATGATGAAGGGAGTGCACACAGAGCTCCTGCCAATCCCCCTACCAGGGTCCAGGGAGAGGACGTGGGGTGGGAAGCTTCCACTCACCGTTGGAGTCCAGGGGCAGCAGGCTAGAGGCACTGAGCAGCTCCACATGCAGCTTCTGCTCAGAGGAGCGGTAGGAAGCCTTGACCGTGACAGCACCCAGCTGCTCCGAGGTAGTTTCTCCCTGGGCATGGGGAGCACATTGCAAGGTCAGCTGGGGCATAGGGCACAAGGTGCATTCGGGCCGTGGTTGGTGCAGAGGAGGACAGGGAGCCTCACCTGCTGCTGGATGCGGCTGCAGAAGTACTTCTGGATGAGTTCCCGGCTGGAGGCCGCCTGCAGCTCCAGGTCCCTCTGTAGAGCCTAGAACAACAATCAAGCATCCTCCTAAACCTTCGCCCCTAAGCATAGCCAGCCCTGACACTGGCTCACAGAAGAGGCTGAGACACACTTTGAAAGGAAAGCACTGGTGTTATGGGACCACAGGCAGGGGTGGACCCTCAACAGTGTCCAGGGGACACAGGCAGAGGCCCAGATGGCCGGCTTCCGGGGCATGTCCCCCATGCAGATGGACAGAGCCACAGTGCTTTGCAAGGTCCAAACTGAGTAATGCTCTGCTGTGATGTCTTAAAATTTGTAATGTTTGAAGAAGGAGCCACCTTTTTTTTTAACCTTGCTTCTTAATTGATTTTTTTTTTTTCTTTTTGAGACAGGGTCTTACTATGCAGTTCAGGCTGGCCTTGAGCTTACTTTGTAGCCCAGACTGGGCTTGAACTCACAACAGTCCTCCTGCCTCAGCCTCCTGAGTGCTGGGATTACAGGCATGTGCCACCATTCCGGGCTTCTTGTTTGTTTTTTTGAGAGAGGGTGTAGCTATGTAGTCCAAGTTGCCCTTGAAATTACTATGTAGCCCACATTGGCCTCAAACTCACAGCAATTCTCCTGCCTCACCTTTCTTTGTGCTGGGATTACAGGCATGAGCCACCACACCTGGCTAAAGGGCCACTTTTGCATTTTTCACTGAGCCTCACAATTTATGTAGCTGGCCCTGGACACAGGTGAATGCAGAAAGCAGGTCCTCTGACCACCTACTTGGGAGTACACCAAGACCCCTACCTGGAAGGTGGCCGTGTGCAGGGCCTCAGGGGGTAGGCCGCAGCCCTCAGCATGGAAGCAGATCTTCAGGTTCTGGGAAAGACAGCAGAGGTAAGCCCAGGGACCCTTCCCCCAGGGCTGTTATCCCTGTGCTTGGCATTATTACCTGTAGGGCCACCTTCAGCCTGCCAGAGGCCAGGGTTGAGCTGCGCTGGGAGGCAGCCACTTCCACCAGCACCGTGAGTGTGTGGGTCCAGAGCAGGGTTAAAAGGCTGGCCGAGGGTGGAGGGGTGTCAGACATGGGACAGGACAATGGAGGAGGAAGAAGCAAAGATGCTTTGAGAAACGAGAGGCTTTGGGGACCCAGGCCCAACCCTACCCCCATCCCGCCTGTTCCACAGGGGCCAGGGCAGGTAGGTGGCAAAGAGGGAAGCCTGGTCTCCTGAGGGAAAGGGCAAGCAGGGGCAGGAGAAAGTCTTGTCTAGTGTGTCTCTCAGTCTCAGTGAAGGAGCTCCTCAAGAGGACCTTGGACGCACAAACCACGAAAGAGGAGGCAGAAAGTTAGACCCCAGGGCCAGAGTCACCATCGAAGGCAGAATGTAGAAATGTGTAGGATCAAAACAACCACATGGATAAGCATCTACTGCCTGGCAGGGACTATAAAATAATGAGGTCATAGTCCTGAGAATTACCTGAGATTTAACATGTATCAGAGTACAGCCCAGCAGTTAGGTACAAAAAAAAATAAAAAATTGTAGCTAGCCACAATGACTCATGCCTATAATCCCAGCACTCCAGGAAGCTAAGGCAGGAGAATTGCAAACTCAAGGTAAGCCTGGGCAAATTAGCAAGACCCTGTCTCAAAATAATTTTTTTTTTTTAAAAAGTGGTAGGTCAGGAGGTTGAGACAAGAGGATTGCCATGAGGTCAAGGCCAACCTGGGCTACATAGTGAGACTCTGTCTCAAAAAAGAAAAATAAAAGGGCCAGGGATATAGCTCAGCAGCACAAGTGCCTGCCTGGCAAGGATAAGGTCCCAAGTTTGATTCCCAGTACAAAGAAAAGAAGAAAAGAAAAGGGCCAGGCGTGGTGGCACACACCTATAATCCCAGCACTCGGGAGGCTGAGGGAGGAGGATCACTGCAAGTTCAAGACCAGCCTGGGCTACAAAGTGAGCTCAAGGCCGACCCGAACTGCATAGCGAGACCCTGTCTCAAAAAGACCAAAAAAAGAGCAGAAAAGAAAAGAAAAATAAAGTAATGATGTGGCATAGTAATAGAGCCCTTGCCTAAAATGTGAGAGGCCCTGAGTTCAATCACCAGCACTGTTAAAAAAAAAAAAAAAAAAAGGACTCGTGGAGGCCTATGTTAAAAGTAGTTTAGGGCTAGGGATATAGCTCATTGGCATAGGCAATTGTCTGGCAAGCCTGAGGTCATGAGTTCAATTCCCAGTACCAAAAAAAAAAAAAAAAAAGTTTATTTGACATATTTAAGTCTTCATTATACACCAAGCACTGTTCTAAAAGCTTTTGATCAAAATTCTTCTCAATTCTGATTTCTGTGGAAAAAGAAACTGAAAGAAATGGCATAAAATGGCCTAATAAGGTCAGGTTCCAGGACCCTGTCTGCCCAGTGAGGAGAACATTAGTCTAGGAGGTGGGACCAGTGACCTAGAGACAGATCCTGTCAGCATCACTCTATTGATGCTGAGTACTTCCTGCGTGTGGCCCATTTAGTCCTCAGTAGAGGGCGGAACTGAGATCCCTGGCACTGAAAAAGAGGAAATGCCCAAAACCACCAAGGAGTCATGGAGCTGGAGTCTGAACCTGGCCACCCGGAGCCCTTACCCTCAGCCCCCACTCCCTGCTTCAGAAACCCTAAGGGAAGTTGCTTGGCTGGTAGCCCTCACATCAGCGGCCTGTAACATTCTGAGGCAGGAGAAGCAGGCGAGGTGGCCCTAAAGATGGGCCCAGGACTGAGGGAGACAAATTTCAACTAAAGAAGAATGTGTCATGTTCCACGCTGGGTGGTGTGAAATGGGCAGGCTCATAAGCAGGTAGTGAGCTCCCTGTCCCTGGAAGCAAGCATTTAAACAGAGGCTGGTTGTAACTCTAAGGGAGGTCACCAAAAGGATTCACATCATGGCCTACCATGGACACTGGGGCCATAGAGGGGAAGCCTTGAAAAAGTTGGGGGCGGGGGCTGCAACGCACCTGCTGAAGTTCTCTTGTACCAGGTTGGTGTTCATGTAGCAGAGCTTCACCTCCAGGAACTTCATCAAGGGCAGAATGGCCTGGGGAGGTGGTGAGGAGCACAGCTGGCTCACGCTTGTTTTGGCCCCACCCCCAACCCCTTGCCCTAGCCCTGGGAGAGGAAAGAGGACCAGGAGCTCGGTGTGCACAGTTGGCAATGCCTGCTCTGGCCACACCCTGCATAGCCTGTGACCCTGCCACAGTACCACCTACCACAGTGCCACCTTGGGACCTTCACTCTTACTGTTCCTTCCTAGTGCTCTTTCTCTAGAAATCCTCAAGGCTCTTTCTCTTGCTTCCTATAGATCTTCACTTCTCTTTTTTTCTTTTTTTTTTTGGTACCGGGAATCGAACTCAGGACCTTGCGCTTGTCAGGCAGGTGCTTTTGCCGCTGAGCTATATCCCCGGCTTCCTGTAGATCTTGACTCAGCTGTTACCCTCTGAATAAGGCCTTCCCCCAGGTGCTACTTAAAAGTACAACCCTCTGACACTACCCTCCACCCCTTTGTCATTATTTTTCTCTTTGGCCTTAGCTGACACATGGTGTAAGCGTGGTATGCATATTTATGGTTACAGACGTAAGTAAGGCTATAGTGATATATACTCAGCTTTCCTTTTACTCCCCTCACTAGAATGGAAGTGCAAAAAAAGCAGGAATTTTTGACATGTTGTTCACAGATCTATCCTCAATGCTTAAATCAGTGCCTGGCACAAAGTGGATGCTCATTGAACAGTTGATGAATTGACAAATCAGAGGTACACAGCTCTCTTCCCGCTCACAGAGAAGGAGACTGAGTCCATGGCTGCCCATATAAACAGGACAGCAGAGCAAGAAGGCGCTGAGAGGGTGTGTCCCCAGCCCGCTGGTCTGCCAAGCCTAAGCCTTCTCTGCGGCCGCCCCACACGACCGTCGGTTCTGGGAGACCATGTGGAGACCCAGCCGCCCCTCTGAGCATCTAGAAAGGAAACAAGGCCCAGGGAGGCAGCATGCTTTGCTCACCTCTAGGGTACTGATCTCTGACACCCACAAGCCCTTAACCCCTACCCACCTTGGGCCTCCTTCCCATCCCTGGACCCACAGAGCTGGCAGGGCAGTGAAGCTCAGAAGGCAGGAGTCACTCACGTCCTCGGGGAGCACCGACTCTTTGACATCCACGAGTTTCTGGATGTGCCTGGCGATGCCCACCTCCAGCTGGGGACACAAAATGGTAAGTGGGTGGAGGCCAGGGAATGGTGGGAGCTCAGGAGCTCTCACTTGGGGCCTGAGTTTAAGTTGAGGAAGCAGGAAAGGTACATCAGCCCAGGTCCTGCTGGGGACCAGGGTGCGAAAATGTACCTGCTCAGCCAGGGTTTGGACCCCGGTGCGGATCTCATGGCCCAGCCCAGCCAGTGCACTCTGAAGCTGGGTGTGTAGTGTGTTCTGCAGCTGTCCCTGATCCAGCACGGTTCCTACCCGCTGCTCCAGGGCCTCCCATGCCAGCTGGGTGGGCAGCTTGCCGATCACCAGCCGCAGCTGCTCCATGTCATTCACCACCACACACAGCTGGAGACAGGCACAGGCAGAGGGACATGGGCCTTCCAGCACCAGAAGGCTCCATACCCGCCCTAGCCAGCCTCCAGCCCTCTGCTCCGCCCCTTACCATGTCGGCTGCCTGACCCTGGTCCTTCTGGCCTGCAGAAAGGGCCCGGGCCCGGGCCTTTATAAGGCTGCAGTATACCAGAGCCAGTCGGCAGGTGTCCTGCGTGGGGTGGGCAGAAGGGACTGATAAATGGCTGGGGCTCCAGGAAGGCAGACAGGGGGCATGGGAATCTCAGCAACTTTGGGGCATTTAGGATACAGGTCTTGGGGGCTGTTAATGGAAAATCCTGGGAGAAATGGGGCAGGGTCATAGTGAGGTGGTGCTAAGAAGGTGGGAAAGATGCTGCACCTCCACGAATTTGACAGTAATCATGAAGGCCTCCTCTGGGTCTGGCCAGTCCAGCTGCCGGGCGGTGTGACTGATCTGGGCAAAGCAGGTGGACAGATCCACAGCTGATGTGCTGTGCTTGGTCAGTTCACCTAGGGGCACCAGCTAGGAGAAAGGAGGAACCCTTAGAAAGTGAGGTTTGGAGCAAGGACAAACCCATCCTCCCTACTACCAAGCAAACAGCTGGGCAGAGGACTGCACGGAGAACAAGCAGCGCTCTGTCCAGACGCCCCAACCTTCAGGATCTATGGGCAAAGGAAGCCACAGTTAACCCCAGGATATCAGAAACAGTGTTTGGCATGAGGTGCATCAGAGGGGATGTTCAGAGTGGGCTACCAGCTTCTACCATGCCCTGAGGTTCCTGCCCCCACCTCGTCCATCTGCACAGCACGCTGTACCCGCTCCAGTGCCACGCTGTATGTCTTCTGCAGCCAGGAAGGGATGGCTGGCTGGAACCAGTGGTGGAAACCATCCAGGGCCAGGACTCCATCCCTGGGGAGAGCTGGGGCTCAGCCTGGAGATGAGCAGAGCCAGCCCACCCACAGGCAGCCTGCAGCCCACCTGTCTAAAGGAACCGGGCCCAGCTGGCAGAGCTCCTTGAGGCTGATGTAGAGCTGGAACAGACTCTCGCCCATCTCTGGAGACACAGGGCTGCCCACAGCTGACGTGTGGTCCTGCACTCGCTTGGCCACCTACAAGGAAAGGCCTGGTAGGCAGGGATGAGGAGTTGGGCAGAGGGGCTGGCCTGGGGATGGTCGCGGGCCTCACCAGCCACTGCAGCTCCAGGAATGCCACGGAGAAGAGGTCAATCTTGAGGGCACTGGGGGAAAGGCAGCGGTGTGACCCAGTAGCATATACCAGGGTTTTTTTTGTTTGTTTGTTTTTGTTTTTTTGTTTGTTTTTCTTCCGGTACCAGGAATTGAACCCACGACCTTACGCTTGCCAGGCAGGCGCTGTGCCGCTGAGCTAAATCCCCAGCCTCATACCAGGGTTATATATATACCTGGGAAGGCCTGCTACCTCCCAACCTGAGTCTGCTCACTTGTGGAAGATTTTGTTCCATGTGCGCTGGCATTGGTGCAGGTCACCCAAGACGTCTTGTACCAGACTCAGCAAGGCCTTGCCTGCCTCCAGCATGCCCTGGCAGGGACACAGGTGGGCTGAGCAGGACCGCAGAGCCGGGCACCCCGCTACCCATCTCCTGCTCCAGTCCCTACCTGCACCATGGGCTGGTGGTGCTGCTGCTTCAGGTGGAACCATTCAACCGTGCCATTCTGTCAGTAAAGAGGCGGTGAGCAGGGAGGGGTTGTCCGGCCTAGGCATGTGCCCCTCACCCCACCCCAGGCCAGATGCCATACCCGAAGGGCCTCTGTCACCAGCTGGGGCAGCGGAGCGGTGTCCTGGCACAGTTCTCCAAAGGCCTTCATCTTGCACATCTGCACCAGGACTCTGGGTGACAGAGGGCTATGTCCCAATGCCTTCTGCCCCACTCCACCATCGCTCTCCAGCAGGCTCCCCACCCCTGCGGGTGCCCTGCCAAGCCCTTGGCCCGGACCCCTCCGTGGAAGCTACACATAGCCACCGACCTGAGGAGAGACTGCAGCCGGGCTGGGGAGTCAGAGACAGAGAGGGGGAAGACGGAGCGGAACTTCCGGATGAGGGAGAGGCCGTAGGCCAGCAGAGAGGTGAACGAAATGGTCAGCTCCTCCAGCTAGAGTTGAAGATACCCCCAGACAGGAGCTGCTTATGAGCCCCCAGGTCCCCTGTTCCCCTGTTCTTCCCCTCACCCTGCCTGCCCAGCACCCCTCACCCTGCTTACTCTTACACCTACCTGTTCTGCCTTGAGCCGGCCCTGGATCCACTGGTACTCAATGCTGGTGATGGGGTGCAGGAGGCAGCTGCTAGGGAACTCCAGGCTCTGGTAGAGGCGGCTGTAGGCTAGCCACTGCCTGTGGGGACAGGAAGCCCTCAGCCAGGCCCATGCAGAGGGACCATGCCTCTCCTGCTCCAAAATCTAGCGGCTGAAGGTGACCCACAGGATTTTGTCTCCATAGATGTTTTCTAAATCATATCCCACACATACACACACATTTCCCTTTGGAGACAGAGTCTTGCTAAATTGCTCAGGCTGGACTCGAACTTTGGATCCTCTACCTCAGCCTCCCAAAGTGCTGGGATTAAAGGCCTGCACCACTACACCCTGCCCACAGCTGATGTGTGGTCCTGCACTCGCTTATCTCTTAAATTTAACTATTTGTCATTTTACAACTTCAGAATTTCTTGCTTCATTTGAAAATATCAGACTTAGGGATCTGAGTCATCACCCACACGCAGCAAACATCAGGTGGAACTTCCCTTTGGACAACTCAGGGGAAAGAAAGTGACAGAGGTGACGGCTGAGCTGGACAAGGTTCAAGTAAAGAGCATGGAGGGGAGGGAAGAAGACCAACCCAGGAGCAGGCTGAGGTACTGGACACTGCTGCCCCCTGCATTCAGTGCTAGGGCTCTATGGGCAAACCAGGCCCCGCACTATCTGATGTCTGCTACTTCCTTTCACCCCACCCTCATCTTCAGCACTGCCACCTAGAATTGTCCTCCTTCAACCTCCTTCTACCTCCCAAATGCTAAGCTTCAAACCAGGCCCCAGTCATATCCTGTTCTCTTTCCTTCCGTTGGCCAGCACTCTGGGTGTGACCCCACTTCTACTTCTCACAGACCCTGGAGTGTCTGACTTCCTGGTATTCCTAGAACTGGACACGGCCCAGGGGACCTGACAGGCACTCAACACACCTTTGCTGATGTCAGTTAAAGTTTGTTCATTTACTGACTTGGAGGCTATGGCATTGGGAAATGGGGTGGAGCTGGGCCAGGAAGCAAATTCAAATGCCCAGAAGGACTCGGGAGATGTAAGGCAATGGGTCTGATGGCAACTGTGCTGGACAGAGGAGGACCTGCCACTCTGATCTGGACAACCCTGCAATTCCAGTGTTTCTGTTACAAGATCAGCTGGAGACAGGGTTTTTTTTCTTTTTTTCTTTTTTGAGACAGGGTCTCGCTATGCAGTTCAGGCTGGCCTTGAACTCTGTAGCCCAGGCTGGCCTCGAACTCGCAGCCATCCCCGTGCTTCAGCCTCCCAAGTGCTGGGATTATAGGCATCATCAGAGTTTTAAAAGTTGGCAACTGATTAAAATCTTTTTGCTTTTCTTTTTTCTTTTTTTTTTTTTTTTGTCTTTTTGACAAAAAATGTTCTCGCCATGCAGTTCAGGCTGGCCTTGAGCTCACTTTGCAGCCCAGGTCACTCTTGAACTCATAGCGATCCTTCTGCCTCAGCCTCCTGAGTGCTGGGATTACAGGAGTGTGCCACCGCAGCTGGCAACTAATTTAAATCTTAAAGCAGAATTTGGGCCAAAGAGCACTTCTAGAGGGTCAGATTTTAGGCTGCCAGCCTGCAGGTGGGCAGATAATGTGGGGGAAGCTGGTGTCTGCCAACAGCCCCCAGGGGCTCTGTGCAGGGTTGTGCACTCACGCCATGGACTGGTGGAAGTCAGACAGGTCCTTCTGCGTAGCATGGAGAAAGAGGATGGTAGTGGCCGGGGGACTCAGCAACCCATCCCAGGAGGTGCTGCCTACCTGAGGGAGCAGTGCAGGAGTGTCAGGCTCTGACAGGCAGCCTTGGTGACACGCAGTTTGGGAGGGTAGTACCTTGTGCAGGGTGACCTCGTGAGACACGAGCTGCTGCAGAAGGTGGAGGTGCACTGTGTAGCTGGGCTGGGAGCGGCTGGCCACAGTGGCCCTCTGCAAAGAGGCCAGCACAGCTGTGAGTAGAGGGTACAGCCAGCCCTCCCCACCCTGCCCACTGAGGCAGCAGGGCACAGTCCTACCCGCTTGTGAATGAGCTGGAACTGGAGGTGGCACTGGCCACGGTCTGGGTAGGTCTCGGTGCGGGGCTCCAGGGGGTACCACTGGTCATCTCGGCAGCGCAGGTCCTGGCAGGCAGGAGACGCCCTCACACAGTCAGGGATGGGGAAGCAGTTGGGGGTGGACGCCAGGCTCTACTTAGGGCAAACCTGGAGCCTTCCCAGAGCCCCGATGGCCCCTCCTCTCACCTCTTGTTTATGCCCTCTCCTCACCCACCTCACCTGCAGCCTCAGAACCACGTTGCCCAGAAAGTCGTCCTGGCCTTTGTCCTTCCGAGCCTCTTTAAAGATCCTGTTTCAGGTAGGGTTGGTGAGCAAGAAGGGTTAAGGGCCTGAAGGGATCAGGCTGGAATCTGCCCCCCATCGACGGTACCTGGGCCCCAGGGATGGAACCTGCAGCCCAACATCAGGTGCATACAATGTGGGAGGGCAGAAGGAGAACCTCCTTCCCTGTGAGCCCTATGGCACCCACCTTCGAAGACCATGCAGATCTGTAAGCTCCCCAAGCTTCTGTCGGACGGACTCCACAGTGTCCATGTCCCTGGTGGGTCACAGGATTGAGCAAGGGGCAACAAGGGTGCCTCAGATCCCTTCATGGAGGAGGCTCTGCTGCTCTCACCCCAGCCCCCACTTTTTTTTTTTTTTTTTTTTTTTTTGGTCTTTTTGAGACAGAGTCTCCCTGTGTAGTTCAGGTTGGCTTTGAGCTCATTTTGTAGCTCAGGCTGGTCTCAAACACACAAGGATCCTCCTGCCTCAGCCTCCTGAGTGCTAGGATTACAGGCATGTGCCACCACGCCTGGCGCTGTTTTGTTTTGTTTTGTTTTTTACTCTTTTTTGTTTGTTTTTTTCCGGTATCAGGAATTGAACTCACAACCTCGCGCTTGCCAGGCAGGCGTTGTGCCGCTGAGCTAAATCCCAGCCCCTATTTTATTTCTTGACACAGCGTCTTACTATGTAGTTCAGTCTGGCCCTGAATTCACAATGCACCTCAGGCTGGTCTCAAAGTCATGGCGATCCTCCTGCCTCAGCCTCTCAGGGGCTGGGATTACAGGTGTACGCCACCATAACTAGAAGCCCTGTCCCCCTTCTCTTCCCCATCCCTAAAAGAATGCTTGTCACTCACCACATGTCCAGGTGAAAGCTTGCATTTGTTATGTCCTCAAACTCCCTGCAGGAAGAAGAGGGTGTGGTTGAGGCCCTTCTAGGGTTGAAGGTCCTTGTAGGACCCCCACACCAACCCCAGCCCACAAGGACCTCAGCTCCGAGTCCTTGTCCTCCTAAGCTGCCATCCTCAATACCACCCACTGTGTAGTCTCAGGCCCCTTGCAGCTTCTCCTCCCCTCCCAACCTGCATCCCTCCCTTTTCAGGGCAGGACTTCAGGCGACCCCTTCATTCATTAAGAGGGACCTGACTCTCTTTGCCCCACCAGCAAGCAAGGCATGTATGCCATTGATCTATCCTGTGCAGCCTACTGTGTCTAGCCTGCCTGGAGAGCCCAGGGCCAAGCCCCTTTCCAGAAACCCTGAAGACCAGCTGCTCTCATTGCCTGGGGGGACCCTGATGCCCAGAGGAGCCCCAGACAGGGGATGCTGAGCAGGGCCACGTACAGAATAAAGGTCTCATCCCAGACGGGATTGAGCGTCTGGTTGATGACCTGGGTGCGGTGGGTCTGCTCCTCGGGGATGGTGTGCCTCACCACGGCCTTCTGCCGACGCCGGGACCCTGGGCTGCCCCCTGGCATGCCCACCCCCTGCTCGATGCCCAGCAGGCAGTAGGGGTCACTGAATCCTGGGAGGAGGGAAAAGGAGGCACCAGGGAGTTGGCCAGGATCCTTCCTTTGTCCCTCCCAGAGCTGACAGAAGGAAAGGGAAAGCTGGACAGGACCCTTCTTAGCCCAGACACCAAGCACTGAGGCCAGGCCTGGGGGGTTGCGGGGAGACGGGGATTCCCCCACAAGGGGCAGACCGACGAGGAGAAGAAGGATCCAGCAAGAAGCCCCTCAGGGTACTGGGCCATACTCACCACTGACATCTTTGCCCAGGATGCCCTTGGCTTGCTTTACTGTTGCCTTCAGACAAAATACTGGCTTCTAGAGGGATGGGAGGGTGTGGCCTGAGTCCCCAAGAGAGCTCAGTTTTCCAGGTCCCCTCTTGCCCCTGGGCCTCCCTTGCCCCTGGGCCCAGGCTACCTCAAGCTCCCTGGCCTGCTGCAGCATGCGCTTGTGCTCCTCAGGCTGCACCTGGAAGGCCTGGTGGGGAGACAGATGGTGGGGCACATGGACCAGGAAGGGAGGGCTCCTGAGTCCAGCCCGAGGGAAGGTGGCGGGGTAGCGGCTGGGCTCACCTCCTGCAGGTATTGTAGCAGCTCAGAGGCCTCCACCACATGACTGGGCTCCGGCCGCCCCAGGCGGTGCAGGACAGTGTAGAGAGCTTCCTCATAGAGCAGGTCCCGCTGAGACACAGCAGGGTCAGTCACTCCAGGAACCCTACCGCCACTAGCCATCCCTGGCACCAACACTGCATACCCAGAGCAAGGGAGGGCGCCACTCGTGCGGGAGAGGAGATCGAGCCTCAGAAGTACCTCCCTCCTCCCCCAGGGTGCTGCTATCAGCCCCGGCCAGTGGCTGAGGGGCCTTCAGGGAGACGCAGGCCTGCCACCCCCACCCTTGTGCACCTCCATCACTCCGACTCTTACCTCCTGGGGGGAGAAGTGGTAGGATGCAGGGTTGACCTGGGGAGCAAGGTGGAAAGACCAGGTGTCCTTGGAGGACTGCTCATATAGGCAGGAAGGCCCAGGCCTAGGGCAGGGCGGCCCCAGCAGCCCAACCGCCATGGCTACCCATGCTCCACACCTGTTCCCACAGCAGGCCTCCCTGGGGTCTGGTCCCCAGGCTGTGCTGCTCGTTCCCTGGCCTGCTTCGGCTGAGGGCCATGGACGCCCAGCTGGTCCAGAAGCACAGGCCCTCTACCACCTGCCCCCACCCTCTCTTCCTTCCCCAGAGGAAACAGCACTGCTTATCGGCTGGGCCGCCTGCTCCTCACCCCAGCAGCGGAAGTGAGGCCCAGCAGCCGTGGTGGATGCCCCGGGGAGATACCTGTGGGGGCTACCCAGCAGCCTGGGGCAACTCAGGGGGTCTCCAGGCAGGAGGGACACCCTGCCTCACAGAGCTGGTGCCTTTGGAGCTGGAGAAGTAGGGCACAGGGGTCAGAACACCGAGGGGAGGAGCCGGAGAGGCTCAGGCCCCCAACCAGAGAAGCCCATGGTAGCTTGGAGAAAGACCTCCTCTGCCCACCCAGAAGGCTCTGCCTAGAGGCTGGGTCGCCAGGTAGGTGGTGCCAGATAGCCAGGCTCCCGCACCCCAAGATGACTAAGGCCTCCCCAGGCTGGCTCTTCTTCCCACTAAGGCCACTCCTACCTCCTTAGTCATTTGGGCCAGGGGATCCTGCAGGTCTTGAACGTTGCGGCGTCTTATCTTGATGGCCTGGCGCAAGAGAGGAGGGCGCCGCTGGGGGTGGAAGAGGCGAGTGGCCATGGTGGCCGGCTCTGCCCTTCCCTCTGCGGCCCTGCTGCTGTAGGGTGAAGACAGCGAAGCCACAGGATGATGCAAAGAGCCCCGAGGCTGCCACCCTCTGCTGGCGGAGGGTGGGGGAGGGTGATGGGGGGTGGAAGTCAGGGTGTCACCGCCCTGAAGGAGCTGCGTCCCAAGTCCCCCGCCCCTGGGTCTTTCCAGGGTCCTCCCCAGCCCGGAGCTGAAAGTGGGCCTCGTGGGAGGGTGGGGCCCACAGAGCCCGGGAGGGTGCGGTGTGCCCAGCAGGCACAGCAGTGCCCTGCCCTGCCCTGCCCTGCCCACAGGCTGACCTGGGCTGGTGGAGCTCTCCTGCCAGGCTTCTCCAAATGGTCCCCAGGCCTGGGCAGGGTGGGGCAGGCTCAGGTGAGGCTTCCTGAGAGGTGTTTCCTAGCCAGGCAGCCAACTGCTCAGCCTGCTCCACCCCACAGATGACATTCCATGGAGGTGACAGGATCGAGCTGTGCTGGCCAGGGACAGCCCTGTGGCCTTGCCTCACTGTGACGGTCAGTCAGGAGACTGCTCCTTCAAACGCCAGTGTGGAGGCTCAGCCAAGCCCTGGGAGCTCCCGGGAAGGTAGGAGAGGCTGCACAACCAGTCTCTTGGAGGCCGGCAATCCCCAAGAGACAGGAAAGTGGACACTCCAGCCCTTTTTCCCAGAGCTCCTTGACTTGCTTACCTGGGGCTGGGGGCGGGGCACCAGCCTGCCCATGGGGTCTGGTTGTTTCCCACCCTTCCCTCACCTCCAGGTAAGTGGGCAGGCAGGCAGGAGGGCACACACTCCAGTGGCCGGCACCGCGTCATGTCCCAGCTGGGCTGCCAAGTGGTGGCCTCTCACAGAGGGCCTAACCCACCTCCCTGACTCCCAGCCTGAGCCTAGGGCCAGAGCATTGCTACCTGGAGCCAGCAGGGGATGAGGGCGTGGCAGGCAGGCTGGGACTCAGGGCTCACGCTGCCTCCAGCCAGGGGCTGGGGCCTCTGTGGGTACGACGGGGACTGAACGGGCTGTGAGGACAAGCAGCTCTCTCGGGGAAGGAACGGCCTCTGCAGCCTCCCCAGCTCTGACGGCTCACACCAATCACCACATACAGGCAGGAAGAGTCAGTACTTCATTTTTACTATTTCACAGTTTTAGCAAACAAATCAAGGTGCAAATAGGGTTTATTTCACATTAATATATTAACTAATTTTTTGTCAAATAAATACGGAATCTCTTTAAACAACCATCTCACTTTGTGGCCAGTCTGGAAGCAATCAAGAGCAAATCTTCGTGCATCTGGACAGGGAGGCTGAAGGGCCTGCATCCAGGGAGGACAGGCTGGGGGGCCTGCGGCTGTGGTGGTCGGCGCACAGGGCGGAGCCTGCTTCTGAGCCCACCCCGCAGCCCCGAACAGCACCACGGGACAGACATGCGCTCCACGGCTCCTAACAGGAAGCCGCGTGGAGATGGAAAGGAGATAAGCGGGAAACCAAATTCCACAATCACTAGCAGAGAGCGGAGGGGCCTCCTCCCTGGCTGTAGGGGTCTTTCCCCTAATGTCCCCAAACCCCGGAACACGGTCCAGCCCCTGAAGCCAGGGGTGGCAACAGAATGCCCACAGACAGGGTGGGGGGCGGCTGGGGGCTGGGCCGGGCTGAATGGAATGTGAGCTGACGTCTGTCAGAACAGTGGCCCTCCAGGGTCAGACACAGACCAGCGGGAGGAATGTCAGCAAGCCCTGGCGAAACAGGCAGGGAAGACACATGGCTGGTCTCATGAAGCTCACAAGGCTGAGTGTAGAATTCCTATCAGAATGTGGGGGCTGCGCTGTGGTGGAGGCGGCGGCCAGAGAGTCCCTCCGTGGGAAGGAGAGTGAAACAGGAACCACAGGACACGCTGTGCTCCTGAGAGCTTGAGATGGTGAGAGGAAGCCATGGCAGAGCCGGCATGGGAAGCGGGGGTGCCAATCCACGCTTCCCAAAAAACGAGTTCCTGGTCACTATTTATCATCAGCCCTGGGGAGAACAAGGTCCTCCCTGACCCCCCAGCACAGATGCAACCAGCCCCACGGGGAGGGGGAGGAAAGAGCCATGAGGACGGGAGGCAGGGAGGCGGACGGAGTCTACTGCGTCTTCTTGTCTTCTGGGGGGTAGTAGGGAGGTGGCGGAGGCTGGCTCTGAAGGGGAGAAAGAGCAAGTTAGAAGGTTCAGAGTGAGCTGAGGTTTCCCAACTCCTAGCCCGTGTGGCTGAGGGGCGGCACTTCCCACTCACCGTGGGCATGTAGACGTTGTGTGGGTTGCCTGGATTGTAATAGGCACTGGCAGCTGCTTCTGCGGCCTTGGCCTCGGCTACGGGAGCAAATACATAACAGGTGTCAGCAACTGTCCTTCATCCAGCGTGGTGAGTCCAGTCCTCACACCGACGACCCAGTCCATCAGCAAAAGCAGCAGTTTCCTGAGCAGCAGCCATGTGGTGGCACTGTCCTATCCAGTCCCTTTATATGCTCTACTCCACGGCACAAGCCCACAAGGTGGTCCTGTGATCATCTCTTTATAGCTGACAAGACTAGGGCATACCAGGGAAGCCACATTACTAGCAAAGGACAGAAGGGAATGGAATCTGCCACTAGCTCACCACCCTATCGGTCCCTTGGGGTGGTCTCCGGGCCAGGGGGTCCTTTGGGGCTCCAGTGGCCTCCAGCCAGTCTCTGAGGCTCTCCATAAAGCCCTGGAGAGGAGAGGGCTGGTCCCGAAGGACTGCCAACAGCCCAGGGGCCTCACCTGCAGGAGTGGAGGGGACATCAGGGCCGCTGACTGGAGGCTCCATGGGTCCAGGATAGGGTGGTGGCGGGGGCTGCACGTATCCCATGGCTCCATCCATCATGGGAGGTCCTGGATAGAACTCTGCTCATAAGAGTGACAGGGCCTCAGTGAGCAGCCGGCCTTGCCCCTGAGAAGGCCACCTCCTGGAAGCTGCCCCAACTAACTCCCTGGGGCCACCTTCCAAGCCTCTGCAGCATCTGTTATTTCTGAAGCGGTGAAAAACCAGGTCTTCCTTTTGCATCCCCTGCCTGGAAGGGGTGGTTAGTGGGTGGGGTAAAGGGTGGGCAGCAAAGGACACACTCACCAGGTGGGGGCGGTGGATAGGGGTAGCCAGGAGGGCAGGGGTACATTCCATTGGCGACTGGTGGGGGAAAGACATAGGCCCCGCTGGGCATGTAAGGGTACCCATAGGCTCCATTGGGGGCTTCACCTCTGGAGGCTACAAGTACAAGGGGAGAGAGAGATGCTCTGAGTGTCACCTGCCTTGGGGCTGGGAGAGGGCAGCCCCACAGATGCCTAGGAGAGCTGCTGGGTCCTGGGACTGTGGCCCCAGATGTGCCCTCCCACCACTCCACTCTCCGCCCACACTTGGGTCTGCCTCAGTCGAAGATGCGGCGAAGGGAGAGGATGCAGGATGGGCAGACGCCAGAGCTGGGCAGAAGGGGGAAGTGACGACGGGGTGGAGGGAAGCCGGGGGGCTAGGGGACAGAGTGAAGGAGCCAGGCGGAGTGGAGCACTTGGGAGTTTAAACGACTGCTTGATGCAGTTCAGGGGTTGGGTTTTTTTGCTTGTATGAGGCCAGAGCAAAATGTCAAGTCCAAACAGCTTTGTCAGCTTTCTGTACACCTGCTCAAGACAGAGGAAGCCCAGGCTCAAGACTGGACAGTAATCACAGGCTTTCTCTGCACCGCCTAGCCCTGGCCAGCTGGACCCCAGATACTCTTGGTGCTTACAAAACAAAATCAAAGGGAACAAGGTCAAATAAAACCCCCACAGAGCCAGTGTGGCCTTGCCCCTAATTTTTAGAACATGGATACCTTGTGACGCCACCTGGAGCATTCGCTGTCCAAACTCAATGGCGCCCCCTGCTGTGAAGGTCAACTTGTAGGAGGCGGAGCCTTCCCAGCCGCCTAAGAACCGACAAACACAGTGAATAAACAGCGAGGAAAACAAGTTCTGTCCGAAGGGATGGCTTGTGCCCTCTCCAGCACCCCATCCCATTGCCTAGAGGCCAGCTGGAAAAGGCTGGGACTTCTGCCTTCTTCCCATGGCTGTTTCTTGGGCCTGTCGCTGGTGCTGGCCACCAGGCCACCTGGTGCTGCAGGCTGGCCTGGCTTCTGCTGTGCAGTGTCACCCTTGGAACAGGGCCTTCTCCTTGGAACAAGCTTGCCCTCCCAACCCCAGCCCAGTAAGCGCACAGGCACAAGGGTGACCTGGTTTGGCTTCGCAGCAAATGCTGAGCAACGAGGTTCTCTCCAGCCCCAGTAAAGCACTTAGCAGTTTCCTGGGAGCAAGCACACTTGGCAATAACTAATGTTCAAGTTCAGGGCCGATCTCATCCTGAGGGGGCCAAAGGCAGACCCTGCCTCCTCCAGTTTGGCTTCAGCTTTAAGAGGCAACCAAGAGCCCCCTGACAGCAAGCTTGGGCCTGGCTGGGTGTGCAGATCCAGGGTTGTCACAGGGGCTTCGGTGTCTGCAAAACTGCAGGCCACGGAACAGGGCCCGTCCAGTCTCCCCGGGGGCAGCTGCCTTTGCTGGGGAACAGGACACAGCTCTTCCTCACATCCAAAACCTGTGCACACTGCCCAGTGCACAGGAATTCTTCTCAGTCATTCCACTGACTTCACTTTTTCAAGAGGTGACTCAGCTGACAATCTGGCATTTCCCAGTGCTGCTGGCTGTCCAACTCGTCCTTTTTCTGTGGTACTAGGGACTGAGCCCACATGTTAGGCAAGAGCTCTACCACTGAGCTACACCCCCAGTCTTTTTTATTTCTGAGAGGGGGTCTTGCTAAGTTGCCTAGCCTGGCCTCAAATTTGCAATCCCTCTATCTCAGCCACTCAAGTAGCTACGACTATGGAGTTGTGCCCCTCTGCCCAGTTCTAGTGGGGTTTTTTGGTTTTCTTGCAGTACTGGGGATTTTAACTTAGGGGCACTCTACACTGAGCTACAGCCCCAGCCCTTTTAAATTTTTCTTTACTTTTTGATTCAGGGTCCTGCCAAGTTGCTCAGCAGGGACTCAAACTTGTGATCCTTCTGCCTCATCCTCCCTCAGTGCTGGCATTACTGACGTGAGCCACCATACCCAGCTTCAGGTGTTTTTCTTGAGGATTAGTACAGAGCTGGGAAGGGGACAAAGCTAGAGCAGTGAGAGTGAGTGTCCAAAGATGATGTCCTCAAGATGGCAGTCAGAGGCCTCAAGAGGGGGCAGTGCCCATTTCTGTTCCTCAGCTCCCGTTACCTACCTCCTGCTTCCGCCTTCACAGTTCCCTTGATATAGTTTGCGCCAAACACAGGCTGCTTGATCTCACAGTCCTTCATCAGATAAAACGGCATCATGAAGGACTGCATGGCATCCCTCCCCTTGGACAGAAAGATGACCTGTGGGGAGAGGACAGGGGCCATCTGTGCCTGAACCACAGCCCACTGGGTTATCGCTTCCCACCCGTTTCCTATGTGTGATGAGTCTGCCGCCAGTGCTGAGGTGGGCAGCCCCAGCCACGGCCAAGAGGCCCAGGGCTCAATGCAGGAGACACTCCCAGAGGGAGCTCCACAAAGAGGCCTAGTGCAGCCTCAGGAATTCCCAGGAAGGTACCATCACCAGCGGTGAGCAGGACAGATGCGTTATTTAAGTGGTGGAGGAGGAGGCAGATGTGGTGCATCGCGAAGGGCCCTACAACACAGTAAGTCTCTGACCTATGAGCGAGTTTTGTTTCAGGAGAATTGTTCATAAGTCCGACTCGTTTGTAAGCCAATAGTGGGTCTTACACGTCTGTGCAAGTTTCTGCCTCGGATGCTCGTAAGTCGGGGACTTACTGTACCAGAGGAAAGGGAGGTGGGGGCAGGGCAGGCAGGGCCCCAGGAGTGGGAGGCTTGGCTCGAGCCTTGCCAAGAACGATGGTGCAGCCTCAGCCACTGCGGCCACTGTGACCTTCCTGCAGCCGACACTGTCCAACAGCAAGAGCTCCTCCGCCGTGCACCTGGACAACCCCGGGGGTCTCAAAACCACTGGTCAGACTCAAACGAACTGAATGCAGGAACTTAAGCTCCCAGCGATGGGGTTTCGAGAGTCACTGGATCTGCTCATCACGGTGACGGAAACACAAAGATGTGCTCCCCTTCCTCCAGTCATCTGCAAGTCTCACCAGTGGGCAGCCACAGGCAGTGACCTCTTCCAGAGACTCCATTCATACTGCCTTCTCAGAGCCTGTGTGGCCAGTTCTTGGGCACGGCCCCTTCTGCAGTCTGGCATTTCTTGCTCTGCTGGGCACTCTGCCCAGTTCAGAGGCCATGATCAAGCCACTGCATCCTGTTTATATTTATCATTCTGGATGTCCACACAGGCCTCTCCAGAGACTCTAAGCTGGAGTCATCCGGGCAGCTGCACCCAGCTCTAGAGCGATTTGTGGCAGCAGCACTGACATTTGCATAGATTCACTCTCAGCAGTCAGCTCAGCTGCACAAAGAGCCCTGTGGTTCTAGAATCGAGGGGCATGTGACAGACAAATAGGCAGAGCAAGGCACTAACATCCACCAAGGTTCAGAGGCCACCAGACTCATGAGGCTGAACCCAAGACCCATGTGACCCTCCAGTCCAACTCTCACGCTGGCCAACTCACCCGGTAAGGGGTAAGGTACACAGTGCCTTTCTTGGTCCCTTTGAAGGCTTCTGGAACATTCCTCATGTCATTGAAGGTAAGCTCCACATGGTCATAGGACATCAGGATGCTGTGATGAGAAAAGCGAAAAGGCCCTGATGAGACAGGTGGAGAAGTCACCTATCGCTCCCAGGCACTGGCAAGGTTGCTCCGCACACTGTCTCAACTGGGTTGTGAGGAAACCATTAATACAGTCATGGAAGAAACAAGCAAGTTGGGGTCTACAGGATTTCCTTCAACCCTTTACACAGCCCCCCAGTAACCAGCATCACAGCACAATTGCAGGGCTCCTGGAGACACCCTCGGACCCATTCAGGTGGGGTAAATTACTTAGGTTCCCTCTTCTAAACCCCGCCCCATTGAACCAGGAGTGCTGAGAGCTACATCGCTACATCGCCAGTCCTTTTTGTTTGATTTCTTTTTTCTTTTCTTTTGAGACTGGGTCTCACTATGCAGTTTAGGCTGGGCTTGAGCTCACTTTGTAGCCCAGGCTGATCTCGAACTCACAAGGATCCTCCCACCTCAGCCTCCTGAGTACTGGGATTACAGGCATGCACCACCATGCCCAGCTAGGGTCTCGCTATGTAATTCAGGCTGGTCTTGAACTCCCTATGTAGTCCAGGATGACCTCAAACTCAACATAATCCTGTCTCATCTTCCTAAGTACTGGGATTGCAGGCATGGGCCACCACACCAGGCAGTCCTTTTTCTTTCTTTTTTTTTTTTTTTTTGTCTTTTTGAGACAGGGTCTCATTATGCAGTTCAGACTGGCCTTGAACTCACTTTGTAGCCCAGGCTGGTCTCGAACTCTCAACAATCCACCTGCCTCAGCCTCCCCAGTGCTGGGATTACAGGCATCCACCACCATGCCCAGCAGTCCTTTTTATTTCAAGACAGTGTCTCACCAAGTTGCCCAGGCTTGCCTCAAACTTGTGATCCTACTGCTCAGCCTCCCAAGTATCTAGGATTACACACACACACAAGCTACCACACCCAGTCACACTTCTGTTTCCCCTTTTTTTAGCCACTCCCTTTTTATTTTGGTTTTGTTTTTTGTTTGTTTGGAGACAGATTACCATATATAGCCCAGGTTGGCCTCAAACTTACAGGGATCCTCCTGCCTCAGCCTCTTGAGTGCTGGGATTACAGGCATAGAACACTACTCCCAGCTAAAGCATTTCTAACACGAGGCAGACTTTTATTTTATAGCACTGAGCCCTGAGCTAAGTAGGAGACACAGCAGGACAGATAAGATGCTTGTTCCAGAAAAGTCTCACTAAGAGAAAAACAGTCCCAAGAGATGGTACTAAATGGCCTCAAAGGATTTTCCCCAGGACCAGGAACTGGCTCTCACTTAGAAATGCAACAAACTAGTGAGCAATGTAATGTTTCTCTGACTGCATGATAAGAAAAGTCCAATGCACTTTGTTCCATTCACTGTCCTCCTCCTGCTCCCAAATATCACAACTTTGTTGACTGGGTAGGGTGAGAGAGAGAGCCAGCCCAAAAAGGGGGCAGTGCAGAGGGCAGAAGGGACTATCAGGACTAGGCTGGGCCCATTAGCGAACACGCGTGGGACGCAGACAGCATTCTGAGGCCTGGGTCACCCTGGTCAGGCATAGGCCTTCCTCTTCCTCCAACTCATTAAGCATTCTGGGTTTTGGCCTCAGCTGGGCCTAAACTCTTGACTCTACCATGTCTTCCTTGAGGACTCAGGTTCCTCCTAAGCTTCTCTGCCTTCAAAGAGCAATTCAGAGTCAGTTTAGCTCAACCCAGCGCTGCCTGGTCCGATTCTCAATGCCCAAGGAGTGAGAGAAGGGTCCAAGGAACACAAATGTCAAGAGGACAGACAGAATGCACTGGGGAAGGGGTAGTAGAAAGAACTTTTAAACTGGGAGACCACGGCTCTGGAGAGTGGTCAACAAAGCAGTCGTTTCCCACTGGAGTAGGGAAAAAGGCAAACAGGGTGTGGAGGCCCAACCTAGAATCCCAGCACTCAGGAGGCTGAGGCAGGAGGGGATGGCCTGGAGTTCGAGGCCAGCCCGCTCCATAGTGAGTTCAAGGCCAACCTAAACTACATAACCAGACAGTCTCAAAACACAAACAAAAACAAAGACAGAGAGAATGTCAAGAAGCCTGGGTCACCGTGTCAAGAGACTAACCTTTCTAAAGGACCCACACTCTTCCCAGGAACTGTGTTAGGGACTTAACAAATGTAACCTATTTAATTTTATTTCTGGGGCCGCAGTTTTCACTTGGAATATGAGAGATTCTGGAATCTACCGGAAGGCTGTATAGGGGTAGCTAAGCTTATTAACTTTGGGACCAAATTCCTTTCCTGGAATTCACCTCTTTGTGATCTATTTAAACTCGTTGGGCCTCACATTCCCTACCCGGATACGTGTATTAATAATTTCTGCCTCACCAGATTTATGTACCAAGTAAGGTAGAAGAGTCGCAGCGGCTGTCGCATAGTAGCAAGATAGTAAACGCCCAATAAATGGCAATTATTTTTGTTGAAGTCCTCTCCCAGACCTTAAAGTCATGGAATCTAGGAAAGGGTTTAATAATGACACCCCCCGACCCCGGCTCCACTTGCCCCAAATACCGCCCCGATCCAGCTGCCCGACATCCCCATCCCCCAGCTGATCGCAGCATCCGCCGCCCCCACGGCAGACACTCCTCCCTGCAGCCCCGCCCGGCTGTTACCCCCACCCACCCGCGCTCCACCAGCTGTCTCCGCAGTTCATTCCCCGCCGCCCACAGCCCACTGCCCACGCCCAGAACAACAGCCCTTCGCCTCTCCAGGATCCTTCCGCAGTATTTTCACCTCTCCGTGTTGTTGACGATTACTCCGCCGCCCTCCGAGTGATTCTTGTTAAGCGCCATGGTCTCTCGGAAAGGGGTCCCGAGACTCGCAACACAGTGCGCCTGCGCTCCTCTTCAGCCCGCCCCCCCAGTGGCGTCGTTCTTATTTCAACCAGCCAATCATAACTCCTGCACGGAGGCTGGGCCAATCACTTGATACCGAGTGTCACGTGATAATAGTTTACTCCCCTCTCCCCCCAGTTGATCCTGCATCACAAACAAATTGAAGACTACAATTCCCAGCAGACCATGCTCCCACAACCTCTGGCTCTCCCTACCCTGAGAGTGAAGAGATGCATTCTGGAACTTGTAGTCTTTTGGATGATTGGTTGAGCTTGACACTCCACCCCGCCTCCTCAGACGGAGATTAACAGCTCTTCCCACTTGCATTAATTCTTTTTTTTTTCTTTCTTTCTTTCTTTCTTTCTTTCTTTTTTTTTTTGTCTTTTTGAGACAGGGTCTCACTGTGTAGTTCAGGCTGGCCTGGAACTCACTTTGTAGCCCAGGCTGGTCTCGAACTCTCAAAGATCCTCCTACTTCAGCCTTCCGAGTGCTGGGATTACGGGCATGGTGGCACACGCCCGGCTCAACCTGCATTAATTCTACAGGCCCCGGATGTGTGCTAATCAAGCACACTCGAACACACTATAACATAAACTTGGTGTGCGGAGCGCTGAACAATCACTTAAAGGGACCCTTCATTCTCTTGATAGACTTTTTCTTGAGAAGTGAGAAGGAAAACCTGTGTGTGTGCTCTGCGCCTCCCCCGACCCCCAGCATTGGGTAGTCAGTGCAGTCCTATCCATTAACGAAAGACCGAGTTCTTTCCATGGAGTAGTGGATGGCTGAGTGAGAACAAACAGCCCCTCCTTTAGTAGATGTGCTGCCGAAGCGAACACACCGCCACTCTTTTAAACTCAGATCCTCCAGGTGGGCTGCAAGAACCTGTATGGAGAGTGAAGGCCGGGAAGCCGGGTGTGGTGGCGCACTCCTGTAATCCCAGCCCTCAGGAGGCTGAGGTAGGAG